TTCTAAAAATTCTTTGAATATTCCACCATATCTTAATCCAAAAGGCTTTTATATTTTTACACGACCACCAGATATGATAATAAGTAGCATCCAAATAACCACATCTCCAGCATTTAGGCTGTAGGTCAGGATACATACGAGACAACTTTTGTGGATCAAGGTGCCATCTATAAAACATTTTATAAAAATTCTCCCTTAAGTTCTGGGCTTGAGTAAATTTAACATTCCTCACCCAGATGGTTTCCCAGGTATCTAGTAGAACTGGTTCACCGAAATTTGTGCCCACTTAATCATACAATCTTTAATTAATTCTGGTTCTGAATCCAATTCTACTAGGACCCCATAAATTCTCTTAATGTGAGTTCGCCTTTGATCTACAAAGCTTTATTTTAAAAATACTTTATGTAGGAATTAAAGATTAGTGTCTAAATTCAGATCACAAAAAGAGACCAGCTATAGGACACAGACTTTCTGTACTGTAAAAAGTACAGTAGCTTTCTCCAAGGGATCATGACTGGATAGCATACTTTTAAATAAATGGATCTGGTGCATGTTGTATAAATCACACTGCAGAAGCTACCATTGTAATTATGAAACAAGATATAAAGATTCTATTTGGAAAGGATATATTATGCATATCTTTGATATTAACAGCCAGATAATTAAAGGCAATTGGGAAAAGATAGAGGAAAAGATCATTTGCCATTTGTTCCTCCAGGTCTAAGCAGATTATTACAAGACTATTGGGAATGTATGCCTGAATCTTAACAAATGTAAATTAGCTATGGATGATTATAATAAATTATAATTACTTTTTATTGAAATGCTTATATTTTATGTATGTACTGTATGTATGTATGCATGCATGCATGTTTGTATGTATGTTTGTATGTATGTATTTATCTAACTCCACCAATCTCCCAAGCAAATGATTCTGGACAGCATACAACAAAATTAAACACATTTGGAATTTTGATATATATATATATATACAAATATATCTATATCTTTTAAAAAATTCATTATAACTTTCTGTGGTATTTATTTTTATATTCAGTTAATAAAAACATTTAAAAAAATAAAAGCTACTACCCTGAGTGTTTAAAATATGTGCATTCAAAAGTATATGTAGGTATGAAGTGCTGGCTGTCCATATCTCTCACAAATGAAGACAAATATACGTGTCCAAGGATAATGTTGCAGGATCCAATATGAGTCAGTCACTGGGCCAAAGGTTTATTTGTCCAAACTTTTGGACTCATGTTTCCTGATGATTGGCTCCAGCATGGGTCTGAAATTTTAGAAAAATAAAATTTTGTTTCCGGTGACTGATTCAGATTCGATCCTGTATATGCAGGAATCGTCAAGATTGCTGTCCAAATAGGACATTATGCTTGTATCAAATAAGCATTAATCAACCCATTTATTTCCAGCTCCATTTTTCTTGATTTGAGCCTATAATATTTGAAGAAATTATAAATTATTTAAGGTAGCGAACACAAATAATACTCCTTTCTCCTCCTGTTTTCCCCAAAACAACAACCCTGTAAGGGGGCTAATAAAGAATGACTGGCCCAAAGTCATCTAGATGGCTTTCATGCCTAAGACAGATCAAAAGTAGATTTTGGCACCAGGCAGTGCTTCTAATGCTAATATTTATTTATTTTGCATTGGAGTCTTTTAATAAACCTTATTTCCATTGTTTCAGGTTTTCCAACTAACAAATATTTAATCTGATTAATTGATACATTTGAACACCAGTTTGGTCCAGTGACTAAGTTTGGTCTGATAATTATTAGGAATCTGTATTTTCTAGTTTGGCTCATAATATCGATAGATATAGGCTCATAAGGTGTTCTAGAAAAAATGTTTTCTTTTGAAGAGCAATACAGAATCCCTTAAATCAGATACATTGAAAATGCTTCTGGAATTCTGCAGTACATTTCAAATCACCTGCTCCTAAATCAAGTTTGTCTTAGCAACTGTTGTTGCATATACCTATTAACATATCTTTCTGCCATAATAGTTTTCTCCTTTTATTTCCACTGCAGCTTTAGCCTAGAATTACAGCATTTGTATTTAGGCCAACAACATAAACAAAAATGTAGGCTAATTAGCAGGCTGTGTATTTCAACTGAGAATTGATTTGTCACCACAGATGGTGACAGATGACAGACACCCTCTCTGCTTCAAACTTCCTATTTAAAATGATCTGTCTGGGTTGGTGATTGATGTTAAGCTCTCTGCACACTAACTATTTCATCCTGCTCATTAATTAAATACTGTTTTTTTTATTGAAAGTTGTATGTGGTGCCAAATCCTTGACCATAATCATAGACTATTATGTCTCTCTGTGTGTATGCGTGTATCTGTTTGTGAGTACTTGTATAAACAGGATGCTCAAACAATTATTTTAGTCCTGATAGTGCCCAACACTGGTTCTGTACATCTCTGCCATTTTATGCCATGCTTTGTTTGATTTGAGGGGGGCAACTATGGCTTATCTACATCAAGGGAACCCCTATGCATGTCAATTATTTTGTATGACTGTTGTCCTATGAAGATGGATTATCACTGCATGAGAAGGATGTAGACCAGAATATGCAACTAATTACATTCAGAGATCAGTAGAAATCAGAAACTTCTCAATCATTCCCAGTTTACCTGCTAGGATCAATCTATCTTACCTGCCATTAACACTCAGTACACCTTTTGTAAAAGCATAGAATCTGTTTCTTCCACACTTCTAGAGACATTTTCTGGACTCAGAACCCAAACTTCACAGAGGATTGTTTGATTAGTTTTCATAATACATTTGGCTCTTTGCAAGAAACACACATATGAGCACACAATATGTATTTGAACTAAAAAATTCCAGGACTACAATATTTTTTTTAACAGGAAAAGGCTGTTTGCTCATATTTATGAAAAGATTAGAATGCTTGCTATTCTCTGTTTTTTCAAAGAAAGATCCCAGTAAAATTTTAATGTTTAGTTTCTGAAAATTATAAAAAGGAAAAGCACTGAGAAAAGACAGCTACATGGAAGCAGATACTTGTTGTAAGATACTTTCTCACAGAATCATTGACAATTCAGTTGATTACACATGCAGAAATGAAAATATATGCCTAGTTTGTATTTCAGTTCCCTGGTTACTGACAGAAAATAAAAGGCTTGGGTTTGGAATCTTTATATCATATTTGAATTTCAAGAAGTACTACATAGAATATTTTTTAAAATCTGCTTTTTAAATTGTTATTTTCATTTTTGACCTGGACATTGCTTTCAAAACTAGTTACTTGCTAAAAATTTCTTTGTGTTATATATGAGTTATAAATAAATCAGGAGATATACAGTATATGGAAGTGAGAGCGCCTTTAAAGTCTTGGCAAGGTGATTTGGAATTGCTTTGTGTCTAAGATGGGACTAGAACTCAAAGTTTCCCAATCTAATCTGCTATTTTAACCACTATGTCAAACTGGTCTTATTATAATGCATACTCTTTTTCACATTTTTTACATCGCCCCTTTAAAATATTAGCTTCTATTGTTTATTGGCTACCCCATAAAATGCAGTGTAATATTCCCTACAGCTTCAGGCATCAGCAGGCTTGGATTCAGCCACAAGATGTTGAATGCTATTAAATAGCCTTCTCCAACCTGAAAACTTAAGAGTTGTGCTATGGCTCCATCTCCCAAAATCCCTATATTTCCTTAATAACTACCTAAGCTGTTTCCCAAATTCATCCGGAGAATGTAACACTGAAGGAGGCTTTATAGGAGTCTTCTTTTCAAAAGACTGAAAAGATGAGCAAATAGTCATCCATTCTAAGACACTTTTGCAATATTTTGAGCAGTAAGAACCAGTCAAAGCACATGCATACTGAAATTAGTTTGACTTTCAAGTTCTTAGGTTTGGTATGTTCAACAAAATATAACAGGGCCTCATCACCTTTGACAGCCATCCTAGAGCAAAATTCTTTCCAGTTCAACATCCTGCCTTCCACAAGGCTAGTTCGGAAACAGGATGTGGTTGCCAATCCATTCTCTTAATTCCCTAGCAGTTGATAAGAGCTTTTATTTAAATCTAGAAAGAGCACGTCACAAATATGATTGCTCACTGTTGGCTGGTCTTTGCATGAGAATACAAATTGCATTTCTTCTCTAATTAGTCCATGATTCAGTGTGTTGTGCAAAACCAGAACAAGGATTTATTGACTATTAATATGGGTAAACGTATCATACAAATTGAGCCACTGGTGGCTTTATTGTCCATGATCTTTCTGTTCATTTCCGAAAGGCATTTAAATGGTATCTTTTGCTGAAAAAAACATTTTTAACAAAAAAAGCAAAACAAGCATAACAACCTTTTACTAGACAACATTTATTTTAAAAACAAAACAAAGACAAAAAAGCAAGAGATCCTGTTACTGAACATTTCAACCATATTGCTATGTCATTGCAATTTCCTGCCCCTAACAACAGAGTGTGGCCTGCAACTAAAATATATATATCTGCCTGTCTCTGCTCCACAAAGAAACTTATTTGGGCAAAATAAATTTAATATCTAATATAAATACATGTTCACATAAATGTAATATAAGGACATACACTGTCCATATAATAGTATCCTATGTAATATTTCATAGAAGGAAGTATTATCTGTATTATTAAAAAAGCTGCAGCCATTAAGCTAATTCTGGTTAATTCTGCAATTCATCCACAAAAATTGAAAGAAAAAGTAGTATTACAGATCATTTCTCTAGTTTTCATACCACTGAAAATTGCCCTAATATAGCACTCTATTCCCAAAGTAGTAAAAAAAAATGCAAACAGTAGTATATTTCAAGTTAGAGACTAAAAAATAAAATTTTATTATTTCAGTATATCATAGTTCTTCTGCAGATGATTCTGCAGAATTAAGAAAACAAGAGACTAAGCTTATGTGTTATACTAGCTAGTTCCACAGATTCAATGGGGCTCATTTCCAAATTCCCTTACCTGAATTTGGCATATTCTTGTGGCCTTCTATTCCAGGTACAGTTCTGTAATTTATCAACTATTTGCAAATAATAATCTTCAGAATATCTAAAAGAAAAAGAATTAAACACATAGCAATGAAACAGAGTTATATTAACGTTTCTTTCCCAACATCTGATGAAATAGATATATAGAGTTGAAAAGATGTGCTTGCTAAGAAAAACCTTGGTCTCCATGGTAAAAGAAAAAAGTTTGAAGTAACTTATTGCAAAGTTTCACTTTCTTTGTGACTTGTTACTGAAAATTTATCTTCTTAGGACTGCCATATTGCTTCTAGCTTGCCTACAGTTGCGAGAGGGGAGGGAACGGAAAGAGCTTGGGATCCACAGATGTTCTCTATCAGTGTGAGAACAGAAGCTGCTGAAAAATTGTTTTGGCAGTAGAAGTTTTCTTCTCATAACAACTGCTGGAAGATTAATTGGACAGTGTGACCTGAATTGTCAGAGGGAGGGAAAATTTTACTCTTTTAATTATCTGTTTCCCGTCATACTGCCAGAGCTAGCTTTCCTTCTATCTGCCGGTATGGTATGCTTGATTAAAGTTTACATTAGAGATCACCACTTTGTTGGGCTTTTCAGCCAGGATTTGACATTAAGCTAGCCCTTTTTTTCGACTTAATTCTATTAAGTCCTGAGCCCCTACGCCCATTCTGGTAGCCTCCAGAGGGGTAGTGAAAACTCAGGAGAAGATGCCTGAAATGGAACAATCAGCTGGAGCCAGTGGGGTCAATCAGTGAAACCCCAGATGGGGCTGAAAGCAGCTTCAGAACCCCACCAGCATCTACATGCCCCAAAGAACAGGTTGAGCGAAAGGAGCCGATCCCAGTCCTGGAGTGGACAGGTTGAGCAAACACATTCAATCGACCCAAATTGGAGAAGTGGTGAGAGGGACTGTGAAAGGCCACTGAAGTCGAATTTCCATTGTACTACCCTCGACCCGAACTGGGCAGAGAACTGGAGTGGTGGGAACAAAAAAACCTCAGAATGGCCAGCACTGAGAAAGCTCTACTTGCCGGTATGTGGCAGCCAGTCAGTGGATCAACTGAGCAAAAGTTCAGCAGCTTGGAGGTCTGAGGAGGGGAGTTGGTCCCACGGCAGGATTCCAGACCATGAGGGGGCTTGGTTCCACTCCCAGAGCTGACACCAGTCCCTTTACCCCAGCACTCAGCAGAAATGGCAGCTGTGGTGGATGGAGGAGCAGCTAGTCTGCAACCGGGGCCATTTCTGCAGCCCAGCCCCAGTCCAGGGCTGAAGGCTCACAGTCTGCCATCGGTGCCTGCTTCTCAACCTGGGGGAATAGACTGGCAACCACCACCAGCCCCTGGGTATGGAGGTCATCTATGGATGTACCTGTATGGCCGGGTTTGGATGCTGGGACCCTGGCCAGGTTTGAATGCTGGGATGCTGGCCCACACCAAAGCTGCTTCCGCCCCAGCCACTGAAAGCAACTTTTGATGGGAACCCCGAGAAGCTGGCGTTTTTCCTCAACCAAGTCTGGTCCTATTTTGACCGACATGGGATAGAATACCCTGGTGACAAGGCCCGAGTGGATTGTCATAGTAGTGGCCAACCTCAAATGAGAGGTGGCAGAATAGGTGACAGATCTCCATGATGAAGGTATTCCTGAGCTGACTGAATGCATTTTTCTGCAGCCTCAGAGCCCACACAAACCCAACGAGCAGAGACAGAAGCCTGGAATGTCAGACAGGGAAACAGGCCCATCAGAGATTTCAGGAAAACTGAAGGGAAGCTGAGACATTGGCCGTAGAAGCCCCTGGCCCAATACTTCTGAGACGAACTAAGCCTCAATCTGTTTCACCTGTGCCTAGCCCAAAGGATCCCAGACTGGTTCAGTGATGGTACCAGTTGGTCACCACTTGGAGCTAGACCTGGCAGTGTACAAAGCCTTGGAAGTTTTGGACTGGTCACTAAGTCAGAAGAGGCACACCTTAGGGAGAAATCATCCAGCAGCAGAATCTCGGGTCCCTCTGGGACATCTGGTTGCACCCCCCATGTACTTCCGCTATGGCTAGGAGGGCCAGAGGCCAATGATGTGTCCGGCTTCAACCCCCCAGAGGCTCCCGTGGTCCCGACTCCCTTGAAGCTTAAGAAGAATCCACTTTATGGCTATCCCAAAGGGGCCTGGCCTGGTTAGACAAGTGGGGCCCTGGATCTATTGGGAAAAAACCTCCAATCAAGTAATTATGAGGAAGCAAGGCCTAAGCTCCCCCTTTGAGAGAAAAGAGCAGGCTGGGAAGGTGGGGGGGGGGATAAGGAAAACCCTTGAAATAAACTTGCAAAAAATTAGGGCGAAGGTACATACATCATAAAAATCATCAATCCAGTAACAGTAAAACTCAAACCACCAAGAATATTGGGTAAAGTGCATCCAGTATTCCACTACAACTTACTGAAACTGTATCGGGGATTCACAATGAGACCAAAAGGGAAGGCAGCCCCAGCCCCAATAATGGTAGAGGGGAAGCACATTATGAGGTCAAATGAATCTTTGATTCTAGAATCCACTGAAGGAACTTACAGTACTTGATCCAATGGTAGGATTATCTGTTGTCAGAAACTAGATGGTAAAAGTTCATCATGTAAAAGTAGATTGTTTGATAACGCAATTCCACACTAAGTGCCCCCGGAAGCCGGGACCAGTGCAAGGGAAAGCTTAATGAGCGATAATGTGTATTCCATTTTGTTTTCCTCCTCTTTGGGAGGCCAGCCTGTCAAGATACGAAGATTTATTTTATTAGGACTGCCATATTGCTTCTAGCATGCTTACAGTTGCGAGGGGGGAGGGGGAAGCTTGGGATCCACAGGTGTTCCCTATCAGTGTGAGAGCCTCTTCTCATAACAACTGCTACAAGATTAATTGGACAATGTGACCTGAATGTCAGAGAGGGAGGAAAAGTTTTACTCTTTTAACTATCTGTTTCCTGCCATATTGGCAGGGCTAGCTTTCCTTCTATCTGCCAGTATGTTATGCCTGATTAAAGTTTATATTAGGGATTGCTGTGTCTCCGGTGTTTTACTTTGTTGGGCTTTTTAGCCGGGATTTGATTTTTTTATTTATTTTATTTATTTATGTTTATATAGCTGTCCATCTCATAACCAACTGACTCTGACAGCACAGAACAAAATTAAAATAGAACTAAAAGTATAAAACAGGTGTATCCAACCTTTTAGCTTGCCTGGATCACTTTAAATGAATTGTATATAATATAGTTAATGTATAAAACCGGCATATACCACTCGTGCTGGCAGAGGAGGCATTCTGCGGGTCCAATCAGCTTGATTATTCTGGCTGGTGGGGTCTAGCAGGAGGGCCTTCTCTGCTGTTGCTCCTGCCCTCTGGAACATTTTGCCCCCCGTCAATGTGAGGTGGGCCCCAACTTTCCTATCTTTTCATAAGCTGGGTTAAATATAGATAAAGACGTGTGTTTGCCAGTCGGTTTGGGGCACCAGTGGGGGAACAGTGCAATGGGGATGATTGATTGAATAATAACATATCCCACTTCTCCTCACCCCCATCCCCGTCCTCCCCATGTGTCTTTGCTTTTAAGGTTTGATTTTAACGTTTTGTGTTTTAACTAAGCTGTAACTAAGCTGTAACTACCCAGAGTTACCCTATAGTAAGATGGGCGGCTAATAAATTTTATAAACAAAAAACAAACAAATAAATATGGCCCTTGGGCCAAGGGTTGGATATGCCTGCTGAAAATATACTAAAATTTTGCTAGAATGAAGAAATGTATTCTAATATTTTAAACTGATATAAACTCTGCCAATTGAAATGTTCCAGCATAACACAGGAGAAACAATATCTTAGACACAGGAATTAGGGAATTAATATCTATTAGTACTTAATAAGAACTTCCAAAATAATTCAGCCTGTAGATTTCAAGTAATTATACAGGCCTCTTTGAGAGGTACTTGTGATGCCAGTTCTATAGCTTGCAAGGTTGACCCTTTATTTATACATACGTACATACAATTTTTAGATGCCACCCACCTGAGATTCAAGACCTTTTCAAAATTACTATCCAAATAAAAATGCTGAATTTCTAAAAGAATAATTGAAGGCAGCTCTTCCACCATTCTTAACTGCTATTTATAGATTGTCCATATCTTTTTCATTCACTTGCACTTCTCCAAAGTGCAACCGAGCAAATTTATTTATTCATGGCAATTTAAAATTATGCTTCCTGTTTCACATCCAGAATAAGGGGCCACGTATTCTATTTTACACATCACAATTCTTAATTTAAGAATGATTAACCTCTATTTCAGAAGCAAGAAATCTTTCTGAGCTAGGATTTAAGATAAATGTAATTAACACTGAATTAATTGCATATCTTAATGTGATCATTCCCTTTGAATTGAATGATTTCTATCACCCATCAGCCACCCATGGACTTCATGGTTATGTGAGAGCGTTTCTAATCAATCCTGGATGGGACATATATTTCACTGCACCAGAAAACATTCAGGTTCACAGTCTAAATCCCTTCCAAAGAAAGATCTTGAAATCCTGCCTAAAATGGATCCTGAGACAGGGGTCTTTTCCTATTTTTGTGCCAAATATATATATTTGGTTGAATCAGGTCCTTAAAACATTAACGAGAAAGGCAATCTCTATGAAGGCAACATAGAATGGCACATTGCCTTGAATTTTCATTGATTTATTTCTTGGCATCTTTCCACAAGCTTTGCTTTTGTGTCCAAAACTGGTGTTCTGAATACTTTTTTTTAAAATGAACATTTATCTGCTGAGACACATTTTCAGCAGAACATCACATTCATATGCAATGAGCCATCTAAAGATTATAAAGATGGCTACAGAATAATTTGTTTTCCCATAATAATGCATCTTGCATAAAGAGTTTTTTCAGGTGTAAAAAAACACAAATTTAGGGTTTAGGGTTCAGAATTAGTTTCCTTTAGAGTATATTGAAACCCATGGAGCCTATGTATGTCATTAGTATTAATAACTTGAAAATCCCATATAATGTGTTCCAACTAAGAGGAATTTACAGCACAACC